CCCAATTCCTGCAATTGTTCTTCGTACTGTAAGGTCCGGCTATACGCTTAAGCTCTCAGTGAACCAAAAAGAAAGAGTTAAACGGAGGCTTGAATAAGAATCAACATTTAATCTTTGATCAAAGACAAAAGGCTGGGTAAAACCATTCCAAACACATACAAAGAGATATGTATATGGGAGGGTTCACACCTTCAGAGAAGATGTAACCACTTTTTATACCTTTAAAGCACCAGTTAAGCCCCCCAACTCTGGCCCCTAATTTATGTTTGTGTATTCTTTGTTGCCCTGCGAAGGAATCTAAACTTCCAATTAGTCTTATCTTAAGCATTTCTTTGTTTACTTAATTGGCCACTTAGCCCCTGGCTCTGGAAGACAAGATCTTATCCAGATCAAACATAAATTAGGGCTGAGGTGTAAATTATCCCTTTGTTGATGGTTGTAGTTCCAACAGAGATACGTACCATGCTTTTAGATGGCACAGAAAGAGATTGATATGAGTTCAGGTCAAATGACAGAGACATACGTTTGTCAAATACCAGGTACATTTCAGAGGCCTAATGACAATATGTTTGTAACAGGAGATACAAATAGAAAGGAATAATATATGTGATACAAATACAAAAGCACAATATATATGTTACAGGAACCTAATGATTACAGAATAACAAGCTTTTACTAAATCTAGTATATCAGTATTTTATATTCTACCTTTATTATTGTTTCCCTATAGTACATTTAGCCTCTAATCCAGGGATGTCAAACTCAAGGCCAGATGTGACCTGTGGGGTGCTTAAATCTGGCCCGCGGGGCCGGCCTGGAAATATCAAAGGACCTGCCCACGGTGCCTCTGCCGGCTAAAACGAGCCGCATGCGGGCCCCCATGGCCTGTTTTTGGCCAGCAGAGTGCTGCTGGAGGCCAGAGAGGCTGAAAACGGTCCATTTTCGGCCCGTTTTTGGCCAGCAGAGTGCTGCAAGAGGCCATGGAGGGCAAAAATAACGCATGAGGGAGCCATGTGTGGCCTCCGCACTCTTATTTTGGCTGGTAAAGTACTCCAGGAGGCCATTCAGGCCAAAAATGGGGCAGAAGGAGCCACAGGCGCCCCCCGGAACCCCGTTTTGGCCAGCAGGGTCCTGCAGGAGGCATCCGTCCCGTCTCACCCACCCCCCAGCCCATGGAGGAGAACTACAATGCTGATTCAGCCCGCGAAGAAATCCAGTTTCACACCCCTGCTCTAAAATCGTCTTTTTTGTTCTTCTCCGAACTCTTTCTAGAGTCTCAACATCTGTTTTTTTTTTTATATCGTAGCGACCAAAACTGGACGCACTATTCCAAGTGTGGTCTTACTCAGAGTCCACAAGGACCCGTCTCCATCAATAGATTTGAAGCGGATTCGCTTCTGCTCCTGGTTCTCTCCTGTCTTTCGCAGATACCGGACGAAATGTTCCATCAGCCTCGAGAATCAAAATAGTTGTTGTGACCCGCATTCCCATCTCTTTTCTCAAATGTCACCAAAATCCCTTTGGGTTTGGTGAGAAGGAAGCTGAGATTGAAGCTGTCATTACTAATGCTGATTCATGGCTGTATTTTTCCAGAAACCAGACGCTATATTTTGCCCCTCCTATTTTGTTCTTCTTCTTCTTCTTCTTCTTGGTCCTCCTTTTTTTTTTTTTTTTGTATAGGGGTTGGAAAAGAGAATTTGGCCATATCTGTCATCCGAGAGCTTAGTTAAACGACAAGCTGTACGCTAATTCCCTTGAGATTAATAGAGCTCCTGTATGGCCCAAAAGTTTGAATCTACCTTAATCCAGCTTTTATTGCAGTTTGTAGTAGTAACTAGCACAATCCTGGGCTTCAAAAATTTTAGCAAGGGGTTCTCTGCCCGGTTGCTGGGTGGGCGTGGCCATGATGGGTGTGGCCTAGTTGGCCTCCTGTGCCACGGAAGGGGGGGTGTTTATGCCCTCCCCGGACTCCAGAGGCTTTTTTCAAGCCTCCAGGAGGGCGAAAATGGCCTCCCCAGGCTTCGGTAGGCCCTCTGGAGGCCGGAAATGGGCCTGTTTCCGGCCTTCCTGAACTTCCGGTAGGCCCGTTTTTCGCCCTCCCCAAGCCTCTGCGCATGCCCTGCACTTACCTGCGTTCAAAATGGGCTGTGTGGGGACTCCTGGGAGGGGAGGGGCGTAGTGGGCAGGGCCAGCCAGAAGTGGGGTTCGGGGGTTCTCCAAACTGCACAGAATCTTAGCTAGAGGTTCTCCCGAACCCCTGAGAACCCCCAGCAGCCCCACCCCCAGCACAATCTTTTGCAAAACAAAACAGAAAAAGAGAAGGAAAAAAATCATCCTTTCTAGCCCAGGTGCATTTTTATTTTGATGAAGAACAACTTTCCAAAAACCTATTGAAACATTTATGCAATTCAGATGACGTACAAGTATTCCTCGCTTTACAGCCGTTTGTTTAGTGACCATTCGAAGTTACAGCACTGCTGAAAAAAAAGTGATTCATGACGACTGTTTTCACACTTTTGTGAGTCCTGGGAGCATCCCCAGGGACACGTGATCAAAAATTCAGCCGCTTGGCAACTGACTCGTATTTATGACAGGTGCAGTGTCCAGGGATCATGGGATCCCCTTCTGACAAACAAAGCCAATGGGGAGGCCAGATTCACTTAACGACGGTGTTACTAACTTAATAACTCCAGCCACTCTTTAACAACTACAGCAAGAAAGACAGTAAAATAGGGCAAAGCTCACTTAACAAATGTCTCACTTAGCAACAGAAATTTTGGGCTCAATTCTACTCGTGTTTGCTCATTCCATAAATAGAAAAAATTGTGAAAAAACTACTAACTGCTCATCGGAAGGATGAAAAATTGGGATCATTGGACTTTTTTCTGGTTTCTTACTAATACAGGTAGTCCTCGACGTACGACTACAATTGAGCCCAAAATTTCTGTTGTTAAGCCAGACATTTGTTAAGTGAATTTTGCCCCATTTTACGACCTTTCTTGCCTCAGATGTTAAGTGAATCACTACAGGTGATAAGTTAGTTACATGGTTGTTAAGTGAATCTGGCTTCCCCATGGACTTTGCTTGTCAGAAGGTTGCAAAAGGGATCACATGACCCCAGGACACTGAAACCGTCATAAATATGAATCAGTTGCCAAGCATCTGAATTTTGATCATATGACCACGGGGTTGCTGGAATGATTAATCAATCAATGCTCAGTGATTGATTAATGAAGAATAATAAAATAACTGCATCCAGTTTTCATTACCACATTATTTAAAAAGATGTAGAGACTCTGGAAAGAGTGCAGAAAAGAGCAACAAAGATGATTAAGGGTCTAGAGGCTGACACATTTGTTGTGGTCCGCCAGCAGCCTGCGGAGCTGGCAGCGGAGTTGGACAGCAATGAGGCTGAGGAAGAACAGGGGCCAGTCCTGGAGTCAGGGGAAGGCCCAGATGAGGGCTCTGCGTCGGAGGCAGAGATGGGGCCAGGGCCATCGGGGAGTGATGTGCGAACTTCAGAGCTTCCAGAGGCTGATAGTAGAGAGGCAGAGGAACAGGAGGAGCCTGTTCCTAGTGCACGTATGAGAAGAGCTGCCAGAAAGCAGGAGCAGATAAAGCAGAGAGGACGACTCGGGAGTAAGGCCAAGAGATGATTGGCCCCTCCCATAAGACTTAAAAGACCAGCAACGGCTCTTGGCCACTTTGCCGGAAAACAACATTGAGAGAATTGCTTCTTATTTTGCTGTATTTATTTCATGTCGGCGTCTTCTGCTTCTGAACTTTTGCCAAGAAAAGCCTTTGGCAGTTTGCCTAATTATACCAAGGTTGGTGATAAACTAAGGAATGGTGTTTTGAAGAATTTGCTTTAATTTAGTTTGGACTACGCTGAGAATAAGTTAATTCTCAGCTGTTCTAATAAAGTCTGTTTGTTTTCGAACCGTTTGCGTTTAATACTAACTACTTGGGCCTGGGTCACAACAACATTGTCCAGAGAAGGAAGAATAAATCCAGACCATAGAATAAATCCACAAGAGGTATAACGCGAAACAATGGCAGAATAACGACTACGTTTCAAATAACAGTGGATTTAATATGTATATTAATATCATATGCATAATGTCAACTCACAAAGCATCCCTGACTTGCTCTCGAGTTGCCATAGGCCGGGGGCGATGGGAAACCGGCAAAATGGCACAGCAGCCAAAGGCAGATACACATTCTATCCTGATCTCTCTCAAGGCTGTATCCCAGGATTAGCTACAGCAGCTGAAGGGGAGTGACCTCTACAACCTGCAAAATTGCTCTGTTGGCGAATGTGATTGATGACATACCCTGGGGGGAGGGAGGAAACAGGGTCATAATTTGAGCATAAATTACGTAGGGTCAGAGCTGGCTTCACTTGGGAATGTGCCGACATGAAGCTCCTAATAAATAACTGGATTTCTTTTGAAGCTTGGCTCGAGACTCGTTATTTAATTAGGGCATCCGTTGGAACCCTGACACAATGAACAGTTTCAGGAATTTGGAGTAGGGGTGACATGATAGCAGTCTTCCAATATTTGGGGAGTTGCCCCAAAGAAGAGGGACTCAACCTATTCTCCAAAGCATCAGAAGGCAGGACAAGAAGCATTTACTGTCCAGTTGTTCCTGCTTTCTTGAAAGAGAAATATATATATATATATTTCAAGTTTACATCAAGACGACTGAACATTTTGAGAGCTAAGCTTGGTTACCTTCACTGAATATTTGCAGATGTGCTCGCTCTTGCTTGATGCTTACTGAGTCTCAAACTATCTATTAAAGTTTAAATATAGAAAGAACACGCTGTCCTTTTGCCTATTTCCAAACAAAAACCTTCAGGATGTTTTTTTTTTTTTTTCTCAAGAGCAAAAAAATTCTAAGGCACTGAGAATGAGCTACACAAAATACACCAATGAATTAATCGACGTTTGCAGAGAGCTGAGTGCTTTTCTGCTTTTATTTTTTTTCTATTTCAGATTCTTCTGAAGGATCTTTAAAAGCCTTTACGTATCGAGGAGAGATAAATGCCTACGTTCTTCGTCAAACCGGAGAAGTAAACCTGGTTTCTCAGGAAGGTTAGTGAGTTAAATAATTTTAAATTTTGGTTTGGGGATTTCTGGGCTACCCTGAAGAGCAATTTTCCCGCTTAAGATGCCCCCCCGCCCCCTGTGATCAGGAGAATAAAAATACCGTATTTTTTGGGAGTATAAGACTCACTGGAGTATAAGACGCACCTTAGTTTTGGGGGAGGAAAATAAAAATTTCTGCCTCTGCCTACCAGGTATTCATCTGGCTAGCGTCCTTAGCCCCTTACATTAGTTTGCTGGTTGTGAGTGCGCCCTCATTGGGGCTGAAAAGCAGCTTCAAAAGCACAGCTGATTGTTGGAGGGAGCTCCAGTGAGTAAAGCAGGCGAAGCGCAGAAGCGGTAAGACAAGGCAGCAGCTGTTCCGGGTTGCCATTTTGGGCTCTGCACCTCACGTTTTCAGCCTCCAAATGCTCCGGTTTGAGAGCCGTTCAAGGCTGCGGGGATTGCCAAAGGACATCGGCGCCGATTGGCGCCCAAAAACGCGATGTGCAGAGGCCAAAAACGGGACATGCGAAGGCCTAAAATGCGATGCGGAGGCCAAAAACGGGACATGCGGAGGCCTAAAATGTGATGCGCAGAGGCCAAAAACGGGACTTGCGGAGGCCTAAAATGCAATGCGCAGAAGCCAAAAACGCGATGCGTGGAGGCGACAATCGGCAGCAATCCCCGCAGCTTTGAACGGCTCTCAAACGGAACATTTGGAGGCTAAAAACGCCAGGCATGGAGCCAAAATACGCAAGCCATTGTCTGTGGCAATCTCTGCAGTCAGGAAGAGGACACCCGGAGGCCGAAGGGTGGGGGCCGGCGGGTAGGCGGGGCTACATTTGGAGTATAAGACATACCTAGATTTTCAGCCTTTTTTAGGGGGTGGGAAAGTATGTCTTATACTCCGAAAAATACGGTAATTAAGAATATTGAGCAAGTCCAGAGATAGGATAGGCAACAAAAATGGTGCAAGATCTGAGGGACAGAATGTATCAGGAGAGATTGAGGAAACTGAATACATACAGTCTGGAGGATAGATGGGATACGGGAGACAGGATTGAAACCTTTAAATATATTAAGGGTGTGAATAATGTTCTAGAACAGGGGTATCAACAGAGGTGTCCTCTGGCCTGCAGGGTGCTTAGATCTGTCCCGCGGGGCTGCCCTGGAAACAGTGAAGGACCAGCCCGCGGTGCTTCTGCCAGAAAAAATGGAGCTCGGGAGGGCTGCCTGCGCTCCCCCCCCTGGAGCTCTGTTTTCACTGGCAGAGGGTTGCAGGAGGCTGTCACAGCCGGAAACAGAGCTCGCAAAAGCCGCGCGCGGCCTCCCGAGCTCCGTTTACACTGGCAGAGGATTGCAGGAGGCTGTCGCAGCCAAAAACGGAGCTTGGGAGCCCATTTTCACTGGCAGAGCGCTCAGGCCACCACAGGCGCCCCTGACACGAGTGACATGGAACCCTGGCCATGACCACCCCAGCCCCCCAAAGTCAAACACAACCCTGATGCAGCCCTCAATGAAATTGACTTTGACACCCCTGTTCTAGAAGACAGCACAAATAGTCCTGCAACTTACAAACCGTTCATTTAGTGGCCATTCAAAGTTACAATGGCACTGAAAAAAGCGACTTGTGAGCGTTTTTCACACTTACGACCATTGCAGCATCCCCATGGTCACGTGATCAAAATTCAGACATCTGGCAACTGATTCATATTTATGACGGTTGCAGCGTGGTGTGATTCCCCCCTCCTTGTGTGACCTTCTGAGAAACAAAGTCAACAGGGGAGCCGGATTCCTTTAACAACCGTGTTACTCACTTTAAAACTCCAGTGACTCATTTAACAACCGTGGCAAGAAATAGCAATAGCACTTAGACTTATATACCGCTTCACAGTGCTTTTACAGCCCTCTCTAAGCGGTTTACAGAGTCAGCCTCTTGCCCCCAACAATCTGGGTCCTTATTTTACCCACCTCGGAAGGGCGGAAGGCTGAGTCAACGTTCAGCCTGTTGAGATTCGAACTGCTGGCAGGCGGCAGGCGGCAGAAGTAGCCTGCAGTACTGCACTCTAACCACTGTGCCACCACAGCTCTAGGTCGTCAAATGGGGCAAAACTCACTTAACTGTCTCATTTAGCAACGGAAATTTGGGGCTCCATTGTGGTTGTAAGTCGAGGACACTTCTGAGGTAACATATCGTCTGTTCCCTAATATCAGCTTCAATTAAATTAGACAAATATTTTCTTGGTTATTATTTTCTCATGAATTTTCAAAGCTAAACTCTCAGGAGAACAGGGAAAATTAACCACTGAGGTTTCAGATTATAAAAAAACCCCATCAACTTCTGATGTTACATGTCATCTCTTCCAGGGGTGGGCTGCTGGGGGTTTGGGAGAACCTCTAGCTAAGATTCTGTGCAGTTCGGAGACCCCCAAATCCCACTCCTGGCTGGCCCCGCCCATCCTACCCCGCCACTCCCAGGAGTCCCCACGCGGCCTGTTTTGGATGCAGGTAAGTGCAGGACATGCGCGGAGGCTCAGGGAGGGCGAAAAATGGGCCTACTAGAGTTCAGGAAGGCTGGAAACAGGCCTGTTTCCGGCCTCCAGAGGGCCTCCGGAGCCTGGAGACGCCGTTTTCGCCCTCCCGGAGGCTCAAAAAAAGCCTCCGGAGCCCGGGGAGGGCAAAAACGCCCCCCCCCCTGTGGTGCAGGAAGCCGACTAGGCCACGCTCACCATGGCCACGCCCACCCTGCAACTGGGCAAAGAACCCCTTGCTAAAATTTTTGAAGCCCACCATTGATCTCTTCCCTAATATTTATCTTCCTGATAGATAGGAGAGTGGATGAATAGGGTGCTATATGCTTCTATGAGTTCTTTCGCCAGCTTTGGTTCTACGTAAATATGGAGCAAACTCTTAGCCAGAGTTTCTTGGCTGGATTACTCAGTATTTCCAAGCCAGAGCTTGGGGGAGTCTGAAGTTGAAGCCAAGAGGCAGGACCTTCCTTTCCTAAAAATGCACACTCAGTACTTTGTGCTTACAGGAAACCCAGAGATGCTTGCCATGTGAACACTCGGCTGTGACTGTAGAGATTGTCCGTCATCCACGTCATGGATGTCCCAAAGCTGCTTTTTCAGGAGGCAACCGGACTTTCTTGTTTTTTTCTTATTTTGAAGACGTTTCGCTTCTCATCCAAGAAGCTTCTTCAGCTCTGACAGGATAGTGGACACCATTCCAAATTGGAAGTTCATCCCAAATTGCATAGCTAAAAAGTCTGTAGAGATTCTCAGTCATCCAGGTCTGGAAAAAGCACCTTTGTGACCTGGATGAACTGAGAATCTCTACAGACTTTTAGCTATACAATTTGGAATGAACACCCTTTCAATGATGTGGGAGGAGGAATGGATTTCCAGAGGAAAAATTGCAGACTGCAGGAACCATTTGCACTACTCTGAGGACACTGATAAACCTCCAAGTGGCCTCAACGACCCTCTAAAAGGATGCAAATGACCAGCTGTCTGCAAGGAATATAACTCCTTCCATTCCTCACCATTCTGCTAGAGCTGGAGAAGCTTCTTGGATGAGAAGCGAAACATCTTCAAAAGAAAAAACAAGAAAGTCCATTTGCCTCCTGAATTAAAGCAACTTTGGGACACTCTGTGTGTGAGACAGAGAAAGATCAAGGAGAAGATGTCTTCTTGAGTTTTGCCCCATTTTACGACCTTTCTTGCTTCGGTTGTTAAGTGAATCGCTGCAGTTGTTAAGTTTTTAACCCAGTTGTTAAGGGAATCTGGCTTCCCCATGGACTTTGCTTGTCGGAAGGTCGCGAAAGGATCACGTGACCCCGGGACACAGCAACCGTCGTAAATATGAGTCAGTTGCCAAGCGTCTGAATTTTGATCGCATGACCAACATTCGGGGATGCTGCAAACTTCATAACTGAAAAACGATCCTAAGTCACTTTTTTTCAGTGCCAGTCACTAAATGAACCCTTATAAGTTGAGGACTACCTCTATTTATGACGGTTTGCAATGTGTCCTGGGGTCACGTGATCTTCTTTCGTGACCATCTGACAGGCAAAGTCAATAGGGAAACCCGATTCACTTACTGTTCTGACCTAGGCTTCTTGACACGGTAAAAAACACATAACACGGCCCGTGATGAGTCACAAAGAGTTGGTAAAGAGTCTGACAGAAGTCTGCCACAGTCCTTCGGGATAAGGCTGATAAGCACCCACTTTTATCTCCCTTGACACGCTGCCAAAGACCTAATTGGCAATTAGCTTTGCAAGGCCACACAGAGCACAGAGACAAAAAATGGAGCTTCAGAATTTAAACCGACCAGCAGGAACAAAGTTGCTTCCTGTAAAGGCTCACGTGCCTTTGCTTCTCCTTTATGTCTTATGGGAGAGGCCAATCATCTCCAAGTCCTACTCCTGAGTTGCCCCTTTTGTCTTAACTGTTCTTGCCTTCTGGCAGCTCTGCGCACGCGCGCACTGGGAACAGGCTCCCTCTGTTCCTCTTCCTCGCTGATGTCAGACTCTGGAGGCTCCCTGGAGTCAGCACATCACTCCCAGATGGCCCTGGTCTCATCTCTGCCTCCGACGCAGAGCCCTCGTCCGAGCCTTCCCCAGACTCCAGGACTGTCCCATGTTCCTCCCCAGCCTCCTCAGTGTCCGACTCTGCTGCCAGCTCTGCAGGCTGCCAGCAGACCACAACACTTACCGACCGTGTTACTAACCTGCAGTGATTCACTTAAGAACGGAGGCAAGAAAAGTCATAAACAGGGGGCAAAACTCACTTAACAAAGGTCTCGCTTAGCAATAGAGATTTCGGGCTCCATTGTGGTCATATGTTGAGGACTACCTATATTCTTCAGTCAGGTTTTAGTGCCGCGGGCACGTAGAAAAGCAATTTCCACCAACAATAATCATGTTAGCAAAGAGGGTCATTCTGCGGTTGAAAGAATTTGCTTGTTGTATGTTTAATGGGAATCCTTTCCCTGCTCTCCGTAACAGGTTCCATTACTCTCAAGGTACCTGCAACTCTTCAAGCTTCCCTGAAATTGTCTGGAACGAAGGTGGAAGTCAGTCCAGAGATCCAACTGCAGGATATCCAGACTGTCTCGAGAGAAAATCATGTCACAGTGACGGGTGAGATTTGTTTGATGACATCTGCTGAAAATAAATCACGTTTTCCAATGAAGCAAATTTTCTACAACGGGTGGGCTGCCTAATGTTTACTGAACAAGCCAGCATCATAACCCTTTTTTTTTCATCTTGGCCTATTGGAACTAATCAGAGTTCTTGAATTCAGATGTGTTTGTGAATTCTGGTTAGTTTCAGCTCAGAAACAATGTTTTTGGTCTTCAAGTTCTTGAGGGTTAAAGCAGGTGAGACGTAAAATAATAGAAGAATGGAATGGAATGGAATGGAATAGAAATAGAAATAATAAAAATAGAAATAGGAATAGGAATAGGAATAGAATGAATAGAATAGAAATAGAATTTAAACGAATGGAATGGAATGGAATGGAATTTGAATTTGAATTTGAATGAATAGAATAAATAGAATAGAAATAGAATTCGAATGAATAGAATAGAACAGAATGAAACAAAACAAATAGAATAGAATAGAATAGAATAGAATAGAATAGAATAGAATAGAATAGGTTTCATTATTTTTCCATCTCAAGCACTAAGTCCAAAAGCGGTTTCCAAATAAGAAACAAAAATAATTATGTTCTTTTCTATAATCAAAGCAGTCAATTTGGCCATCTCTGCTAACTCCGTCAATTTTTGCAGTCACGCACATAAATTTCCTCAGGAAAATTTGAAATATGTTCGCATTTGTAATATGGAAGAGAATCAAATGTTTTCTTGCTTTGTTTAATGCAGGTGTGTCCATCCCACACCCCACAGGCCGCAGATACCACCGGACAGCTAATAATGCGGCCCCCACAAGATCGTAAACTTTTAACTTCATTATGTGATTTTTAGCAATAGTTACTAGATTATATATTTTATATTTGGCCCAAGACAATTCCTCTTCACTCAGTGCAGCTCAGACAAGCCAAAAAGGTTGAACATGCCTGGTTTAATTAAATATCTCTCTCCTTCCCTCTCTCCCTCCCCCTCCCCTCTCTCTCCCTCTCCCTCTCCCTCCCTTTCTTGAGTGAGATTGAGAGAGAAAGAGAGAGAAAGAGAGGGGGGATTGAGAGAGAGAGGTTGAGAGACAGTGATTCAGTGAGAAAAAGATTGAGAGAGAGACAGAGGGAGAAAGAGATTTAGAAAGGGAGTGATTGAGAGAGAGATTGAGAGAGAGAAAGATTGAGAGAGAGAGAAAGGTTGAGAAAAAGAGAGAGAGAGATTGAGAGAGCCAGATTGAGAGAGAGAGAGAAAGAGAGAAATGGAGAGAGAAATTGAGAGAGAGAGACAGAGAAATTGAGAAAGAGAGAGAGAGAGATTGAGAGGGAGACAATTGAGAGAAATAGAGAGATTGAGAGAGAGAAAGAAAGAAATAGAGAGAGAAATTGAGAGAGACAGAGACAGGGAAATTGAGAAAAAGAGAGAGAGATTGAGAGAGAGAGAGACAATTGAGAGAAAGAGAGAAATTGAGAGAGAAATTGAGAGAGAGACAGATTGAGAAAAAGAGAAATGGAGAGAGAAATTGAGAGAGACAGAGAAATTGAGAAAAAGAGAGACAGATTGAGAGAGAGACTGAGAGAGAGAGAGAAATAGAGAGAGAAATTGAGAAAAAGAGAGACAGATTTAGGGAGAGAGATTGAGAGAGACAGATTGAGAGAAAGAGAGAGGGGGATTGAGAGAGAAAGAAATTGAGAAAAAGAGAGCGAGCGAGCAAAACCACACACATTGACCAAAGCAAGTCTGTCCATATATCTTTAACATGACGTATCTCTCTGCTCTTCAATTTAGACTTCTCATCCAAATCATGTCCGGTTTCGTATTATCTAAAAACTTTGGCCGGACTTGCAAGCCACTTCATTTCCATGCTCCAAATGGAGCCCGTTAGACCGAAGTCTACATAGCTCCGAATAAAATAAGTTGACCTTGCTTGTCACGGTTAAGGAATGTCCTTGTTAATGGCGAGGAAGCCTACTTGGCTGACGGGTGATTTTATTTTATTTTAATAAGAATAGCCTTGACTGTGCAGCTGATTAGGTTGTGCTGTTCGTATTCGCAGAAAGAAAGCCCGTAGTCAGAAAGTTTATTTTGGAAGTGTAAAAAAATAAACCACCAGCAGCAACATGGGTCTTTCTTGAGGATTTGGGACAGAGGGTGGGGGGCTTCCCAAATAGGAAACGAATCAGGCCCATCTGGCATTTATTTTCCACGACAAGAATAGTGTTAGAATAGTGGAAATGCACGTTATTTCCATAGCAAGGAAGATAAAGCAGGAATGGTTCAATGGATTGCTTTATTTAAAGAGGAAAATACCGTATTTTTCGGAGTATAAGACGCACCTTTTTCCCCCCTAAAAGGGGGTGAAAATTTAGGTGCGTCTTATAAGAACATGAAATACAAAAATTAAAAACAATTAAAATATATATAAATTTGGCCCAAAAATTAAAAATCACAAACCAATTAAAACATTTAAAATTTCTTCTTAAACCAGCCCGGCTTGCTGGAAAAAATGGGTTTTAAGGGCACGGCGGAAGGCACTGAGGTCTTGGATTCTCCTTATCTCTGGGGGCAACTGATTCCAGAGGGTAGGGTATATAATAAAATAAAAAGGATACCAAAAAAAAAGAATAGTGTGGAAGACTGTAAACTCCCCATTTGAACCTGGAGAGAAGTTGCATAAGCAACACTTCGGTTTGCCAGTTCTGTGCGGGGCGAATTTAAGTTCACCCAGCACAGAAAATGTGAGTGCGTGCGCCCGGCCTTCCACGCATGTGCCCAGACTCAAAAATATGCCTAAATAGGACGGCATAGAGGCGGGGCGGGGTGTGGCCCCACCCATGATTTCCACTACCGGTTCGAGTGAACTGGTCCGAACCGGCTGAATACCACCTCTTGTGCTCACATAGTCAGCCAGATATTTAGACTCGATGTGGCATTATTGTCTACCTGTCGAATCAAAAATCAAATTTATTACAGTCAAAGACCAGAAACCTTTCCACTTGTTGAATATGTTCCAAGGATCTGGAATAGGTAGATTTGTTGTTTAAAATATTAGATGTTGATACGTTTGTTTGTTTTTTTAATTTGATTTATATGCCGCCCTTCTCCGGAGACTCAGGGCGGCTTACAATGCGTTAAGCAATAGCCTTCATACTTTTTTGTATATTTATACAAAGTCAGCTTATTGCCCCCACAAACTGGGTCCTCAATTTACCTACCTTAGAAAGGATGGAAGGTTGAGTCAACCTTGAGCCTGGGGAGATTCGAACTAGCAGTAATTGCAGGCAGCTGAATGATAATAACAGGCTATTAGTCTGCTGCGCCACCAGGCTCCTTTTGTTCTTAAGGCTTGCGCAGCTATAGAAAAGACACACTTGTTCTGACCCAGCTCCCCAAACATGACAAACCGTCTGAAGTTAACTCAAAGATTCCTTTATTAGGAGCGCCAGCAGCCCCGGCAAGAAGTTTCTCTCTCACCACAGCCTAACAAGTCTGTTCGGCAGGAAGATGAATAGTTGTTTGCCACATCTATTCGTCTCCGCCCCCTGCCTTTTATCCCCAGAGCTAGAGTGGGGCTTCTCTAGCAGTGGTGGCTCTTCCGTCCCGAGGACCGGCCCATAGATTTCCACTGCTCTCCTCTCCTCTGCCTTCTGCGCATCCGTGCGTCAGGCACTGGACCCAGCTGTTCCTCCTCTTCCTCATCAGCCACTCCAGACTTGGGGGCTGTTGACTCTCCATCTGAGGGCTGACGGACGGCCCAGGCTCCTACTTTGTCTCTCTCTCTCTCTCTCTCTCTCTGACAGCTCCATTCCCTCTTCCCCCGCGGAGCTCTCCGGTTGCCGGGATCCTGACCATGACTCCCATGCCTCCTCCCCCTCCTCTGATTTGGCTGTTGGAGGGGCCGGTGACCAGCAGGCCACCACAACACTTTTCAGTGTGTTATTGATAATAAGAAAATGCTTTATCAGGGGTCCTTCATGCCATTATCCATTTGGTGAGTTGGTCCCTTTGTGTGAGAAATAAGGTATTAGGAAGAGCGTTTTCTTCCCAAATTTAGAATCTTGTTCATTTACCTTTGTAGATTCAGCCTGTCTCCCATTCTTTGGTTTTTAACAGGGTGGATTTGATTTAAATCGAGTTGATTTAAATCACAATTTAAATCATGATTTAAATCACTAGTAAAAAGGCTTGATTTAAATCAGCTCGATTTAAATCATAATTTTTAAAGAGCAACTGTCATCTCTGCTGCTCCTTTGACCCACTGTTGACTCACCGATAGTCCCAGTGTTGCAGAATATACAGCCTCCTGCTACATAACTAAGCTCCATTTCATGCTGAATAAACTAATTATTTATGTATCTTAAATAGAAAACTATCTTACAATAGATTTTTACCCCAAAAGTTTTTTATTAAAATAAATTCGATAAAAATCAAAAAAATCCGATTTAAATTTTAAAAATCTGATTTTTTTTTTATTTTTTTAAAAAAATCATTGATTTTTATCCACCCTGGTTTTTAAGCATTGTATGAAACCTTCAGACTTCTAATACTGTTGCCTGAAGATGGAAATGTTTTCAATTTTTGTAAGGTTTTTTTTTTTAAGATATTCACTTAGGCTTTTGGTATGTTTTGGTAGGAAGACATTGAGTACATAAAATAAATTAATTGTAGCGGAAAACAGCTGTTTACATCTGGAAAACTCTGGGCCGAAATGGGGGGGGGAAGAGGTTTGCTTCAGCTTTTACTGTAAGCTCATATTAAAAGGTACGGAATTAATCATCATCATGTTACAGTGTTTACTACTTGCACACTCCCACATAAATAATTGGTCTATAACTCTGTTGTTAGTGTAAAAAAAAAAAAAAAAGCTGCATAGAGAGTTTACCTATATGCAGAGGTGGGTTTCAGCAGGTTCTGACCAGTTCTGGAGAACCGGTAGCGGAAATTTTGAGTAGTTCGGAGAACCGGTAGTAAAAATTCTGACTGGCCCCGCAGCCATCTATTCTCTGCCTCCTGAGTCCCAGCTGATCAGGAGGAAATGGGGATTTTGCAGTGACCTTCCCCTGGATTGGGGAGGGAATGGAGATTTTACAGTATCCTTCCCCTGCCACGCCCACCAAGCCACACCCACAGAACCAGTAATAAAAATTTTTGAAACCCACCACTGCCTATATCCGTGATGGTGAACATATGGCATGCGTGCCACAGGTGGCACGCAGAGCCATATCTGTGGGCACGCCAGCGTTGCCCTAGCTCAGCTCCAGCACACATGCGCATGCAGGCCAGCTGATTTTCGGGCCTTCTGGGCCCACCGGAAGTCAGGAAATGGGCCGTTTCCGGCCTCCAGAGGGCCTCCGGGGGGGGGTTGGGGAAGGGTTTTTGCCCTTCCCAGGCTCCTAGAAAGGCTCTGGAGCCTGGGGAGGTGAAAAACGGGCTTTCCGGTCCCACTGTGCCGTCGCGTACCAATAGCAGGGAGAGCGCGGGAGGGTCACATGCACAGTGGGGTGGGGTGCACTGAATTATGGGTGTGGGCACATGCACGTGCGACACCCCTGCGCTCCCCCCGCTTTTGGCACGCGATGGCAAAAAGGTTAGCCATCCCTGGCCTATATGATCAATGGAAGTCCAACAACTGCTAACGGCTACATTTATTTTGACATCAGGTCGAAGTCTAGTCACATTTTTTTACTGAACAACTTCAAAGATAGGGAACAAAGGATGTAACATGCTCTCTGCAACATACCCGTTGCGGCATCCTAGCTCAACAATGGAGTCCAGGTTAAAGCAAATACAGAACAGAGAGGGTTGCACGTTCACTCCAGCAAAGGTTTGTGCAACCCTCTCCGGCCGGAGAGCATAACCGCTTCCTGACTCGCGTATTTCTTACCGCGCCCACTTCCCCACCGGTAGATCTCCATGAGTGAGAAGCTGCGCGCTCCTCCGGTCCTCCTGGGGCGGCTCGCCACCCCGCTGGCAGCTTCTCCTTCTCCTGGCTGCTCCAGGAGCAGCTTGTCTGTTATCCGGTGAGAACGGCCTGCCACCACAGCCTGCCCTGCTCTCTCTGCCCCGGCAGTTGCTCCTGGTGCTGCCAGAGAAGCAGCAGCACGAGAACCGCTCTTGCTGGGGGCAAGGGGGTGGCGGTGGCAGGAGCAGCAGGCCAGGGCTTCCCTCCCTCCCTCCCTCCAGAGGCCTGGGGCTATGCCAGAAGTCTGCTCGGGCGGGAAGACAAGGAAGCCCCGGACGGTCCATCCTTGCCACCACCGCCCCCTCGCCCTTGGCGGCAGCGGTTCTCGTACAGGAGCAGCTGGAAGGGGAGAGGGGATGGCAGCAGGCTGCGGCAGCAGACAGTTCGAGCCGGCTAAGAGGCAACGTTCCTCCTCCTGCCAGCCTCGAGCTCAGCTCCAGGCAGCGTCCCCCCCAGCCATACCTGGCTTCTCCCTGCGGCAGCCCATGTGGATCGCAGCACAACTTCAGGGCTTTTCCTCATGGTGGCGGTGACGAGGCAGGCAGGCAGCCAGGGGCATGGGAGCGACTGGCGGCAACGCTCCTGGCTGGCACAGGGTGGAGTCCCGGGGCTGCATGCGGGCAATGACGGTGGGCGGGGTAAGCAAGCCGCGACCGGGCCGGGAACCGGTTCGGGGGCGTGGCCAGCCAATCTTATTACCGGTTCTCCGAACTACTAAATTTTTTTACTACCGGTTCTTGCGAACCGGTGCGAACCGGGAGCAATCCACCACTGTGTCTTTGGCTGCTGTGCCATTTCGCCAGTTTCCCATCCCCACCTGGCCTATGGCAACTCGAGAGCAGGCCAGGGATGCTTTGCGAGTTGACATTATGCATATGATATAAATATGCATATTAAATCCACTGTTATTTGAAACGTATCCTGCCGTTGTTCCTCATTATACCTCTTGTGGATTTATTCTATGGCCTGAGAGTGATGTATGTTTTCCTTCTCTGGACTATGTCCATGATCTAATACTGTACAGTCAGGGGAGATGAATAATTTTCAACTCGACATTCCAGAGAGAGGTGAAATTGCCGAACGAAGAGCTTTTCCCATAAATCATGTTAGCTAAGTGTTTTTACACACCACCGCAAACTTCTTTCCAACTTTTTTTTTTTTACTCGTTTAAACAAAGCTTTGCTGGGGTCCTCTCGAACCCGGTTCAGTTTGCTTATAGCCCTTGTATTCTAAATCCAGAAGCCGAAAATAGATCCTGGGAAAAAAAAACCCGGTGATAACCACCACAGAAATAAACCCTTGGATTCCAGCTTGCATGGAGCGGGACAGACCTTCATTTTTCATTTCAGGAAACAGCTGCTTAAGCTGTCTTAAAGCTCTCGAAGATGGTTAGAACGAGGTTGGAAAAAGTGCTGTAAAAACGTTGCCGAGTAGCTTAGAAGAAGGCATAACAGGAGCAAGGCGTGAATATTCAGAGAGAATACAGGTGTTCCTCGACTTACGACCATGATGGAGCCCAAAATTTATGTTGCTAAGCGAGACATACCTGAAGTGAGTTTTGCTCTGTTGGAAATATCCTTCTGGGTTCAGTTCCAAGTGGGGAAAAAGACACCGGATTCATGGAAGTTGCTTGGAAAGAAGGTTTATCGATGAACAGGATCACACGGCTTGAGATCCTGGGCAGAAAAATGGCAGAGGTGTTGAGAGTGCCTGGGTTTTACGCCCTCTCTGGGCTTTTGAATTTGAGCTTGTATTCTGATTGGTTTGTCAGACTCCCATGGGGCCATGCAGGGGTAACTTTGTAGGTTGTCTGTGTCCCAGGCTTGGTTGACTCTTGCTGGGTGATGATGTAATGTAAATTCCTACTATGGCTCTGCCTGAAGGAGGTAGATCTTGGTTATGTAGAATAGACTGGCCCAGGCCTTAAAGGTGTGGGGAGGCTGACTTTCTGCCTCCCTTTTAGGGGAAATATTCTGCCCTTTTAATATTTCCTCAAATATCTCATTTTCTTAGGAGAGGGGTGGGTGCTAACTTCCTACAGCTCCATTGTATGACCTTTCCTGCCACGGTTGTTAAGTGAATCATTCCAGTCGTTAACTTAGTTAACACTGTGAGCCTGGCTTCCCCATTGACTTCCCCATTGACCTTGCTGGTTAGAAGGTCTTCAATGTGAATTAGTTGCCAACTGTCTGAAGCAGTGGTGAAATTTGTTACTACCGGTTCTGTGGGCGTTGCTTGGTGGGGGGTGGGGGAATGTGACTGGGTGGGTGTGGCCAACTTTTCTTTTTTTTTTTACTTTTAAAAGCATTTTTTCTACAACCTCTTTGGTTGTAGAAAAAATTGCTTTTAAAAGCCTCTGACGATCCCAGCTGAGTTGCCTGATCGTCAGAGGCTTTTAAAAGCGTTTTTTTCTACCAAAGGCTCTGACAATCAGGCAACTCAGCTGGGATCGTCAGAGCCTTTTAAAAGCATTTTTTTACAACCTCTTCAGCCGAAGTTGTAAAAATTGTGGGTTTTTTTCTCTTTGTTTGGTTTGTTCTTTTTTTGTTTTTATGTTCTCTTTGTTCTCAACGTGTGGTCCTCAATGGAACTGCATCTACATAGAGGGAGGGATGCAGTGGGGCACCCCAGGCTCTGTTTTAGGCCCAGGAGGACTCTTCAACATCTTCATCAATGACTTGGACGAGGGGATAGATGGGGAACTCATCAAATTTGCAGATGACACCAAGCTGGCAGGAATAGCTGACACTCCAGAAGATAAAAGCTCAAGATACAGAAGGATCTGGACAGAGTTGAACATTGGGTGCTATCTAACAAAATGAAATTCAAGGGTGAAAAAAGGAAGGTTCTACATTTAGGCAAGGAAAACAAATGCACAGATACAGTATAGGTCCGTGATGGCGAACCTATGGCACGCGTGCCACAGGTGGCATGCGTAGCCATAACAGTGGGCACGCCAGCTCAGCTCTGAGAGAGAGAGAGAGAGAGAGAGAGGCTCTGGAGGCTGGGGACAGCAAAAAACATTGCTTCCTGTCCCACTGGGAGTTGGGAAATGAGCCATTTCAGGCCTCCGGAGGGCCTCTGAGGGAGTGGGGAAGGCTGTTTTCGCCCTCCCCAGATGCATAGAGAGGCTCTGGACCCAGGTAAGAAAGAAAAAATGGGCCTACTGGGCCATCGCATACCTGGAGCGGGGGTGTGGGGTGTTGTGCGCACATGGGCAGGGCGCAGAGAATTATGGAACCTCCCCCGCGCTCCTGGCACGCGATGGCAAAAAGGTTAGCCATCACTGGTATAGGTGGTACTTGGCTCAATAGTAGTAACTGTGAGAGGGATCTTGGAGTCCTAGTGGACAATCCCTTAAAGATGAGCCAGCCGTGTGCTGAAGCTGCCAAAAAAGCCAACACAATTCTGGGCTGCATCAACAGAGGGAGAGAATCAAGATCACGTGAAGTGTTAATACCACTTTATAAGGCCTTGGGAAGGCCACACTTGGAATAATGCATCCAGTTTTGGTCGCCACGATGTAAAAAAGATGTGGAGACGCTGGAAAGAGTGCAGAGAAGAGCAACCAAGAGGATTAGGGGACTGGAGGCTAAAACATATACAGAACGGTTGCTGGAACTGGGTATGTCTAGTCTGATGAAAAGAAGGACTAGGGGCAGAGGTGGATTGCCCCCGTTTGTACCGGTTCTATAGAACCAGTAGTAAAACCGGCGGGAGGCCCCGCCCACCAACCCCAAAATAGAATAGAATAGAATAGAATAGAATAGAATAGAATAGAATAGAAAATATGGAATGGAATGGAATGGAATGGAATAGAATAGAATAGAAAATATGGAATGGAATGGAATGGAATGGAATGGAATGGAATGGAATGGAATAGAATAGAATAGAATAGAATAGAATAGAATAGAATAGAATAGAATAGAATAGAATAGAATAGAATAGAATAGAATAACAGAGTTGGAAGGGACCTTGGAGGTCTTCTAGTCCAACCCTCTGCTTAGGCAGGAAACCCTACACCACTTCAGACAAATGGTTGTCCAATTTCTTAAAAACTTTCCATGTTGGAGCATTCTGGGGTGACGATAGCAGTTTCCCAGTACTTGAAGGGCTGCCACAAGGAAGAGGAGGGGGAGGTCAGCCTATTCTCCAAAGCACCTGAGGGCAGGACAAGAAGTACGAGATGCCTGGTCTGTGGAATAATATTTCCTTAGACGTTTGAATAATTGTGGCCTGCTGTCTTTTAATCTGGATTAGGGGGATATATATATGCCTTCTGAGAGAATGTTAGTTATATAATATATAATACAGTTCTCAGCAATTGACCAAACGTTTATTACCCCTTTTTTTACTTTTGTTTATACTGGGTATATTTTTAACTTGTACGGCACCCAGAGTCAGCCGCCATGTAAATTTGGGGAATCAATCAATCATAATTGTATTGCAGCTAGCTGCCATTTCAGATCTGAGCACTGGGAATAGCAAATACGTGACGCCAAGAGCTATGAAAAACATATGTTTAATGTAATGTTTTAATTCTAGAAATGTTTTATGTGATTCCAACGGAAGACCATTCCAGTTATGATTCACTACGGGGAAAATGAATGATGGATTAATGTATGTGACAGGACCTCATATTTTATTTCCTAATGTATACACACGTTTTTGGTATGTCGTTAGCAGCGCTTTTCATAAGTGGAATTTGAAATATAAAGTAGAGCTATTGAAGTAAGGAGTCCTGGAATCATATGGGTTGGAAGGGACATTGGAGGTCTTCTAGTCCAACCCTGATGTGGCCCGTCAGCGGTCTGTGCATCTAGTAGCTGATTCTGACAGCGAGGAGGCTGGTGTGGTGCTGCACCAGCAGCCTGTGCAGCTTGGACTCGAGTCAGACAATGAGGAGGCTGGAGAAGATGTGGTGCCAGAGGCAGGGATTCAGCCAGGGCCTTCAGAACCTCCAGAAGCTTCCATAAATGAAGAGGAAGAAGAGGAGGAGTCTCTTCTCGATGCACGGGCACGCACAGCTGCCAAAAGGCAGGAGTGGCTCCTCAGGAGGAGGTCTCCTCAAGGGTAAAACTTGGGGCTAATTGGCCACTCCCTTAGCCTATTTAAGGAAGGATAACGACTGAGGCAATTTGCAGGGAACAACTTCGTTCACTCTCCTTCGCATCTTGATTTTAGTGCTCTTTTCAGTTTCCTTCAAATTGTTTCTGGGCTTTCTGCCAACCATAGTAAGATTATTATTATTTATTCTTTGGATTCTTGTAGGCTGTTAAGAAAATTAATTAACAGCCTTCGTTTGAAAAAGATTGATTTAATTTAGTAAACTAAGGTTTGTACAGACTTTGTGTGTGCTGTGTTCTTTGGGGTCCGTAGCTGGGGCAGAACAAACCACCTCAACAAGGCAGAAGTCCTTACTCCATCCTGGATAAATGGTTGTCCACTCTTTTCCTGAAAACCTCCTGCGACGGAGAACTCACAAGCCTAGGAGTCAAAATGTTCCATGAATTGTTCTCGCTGTCTTCGTTCTAAATTGGATCTCTCTTTTAAAAAGCAGACAATTCTACCTATTCCTTCTTCTCTGGCCCTCAGGTGCTTTAAGTCAATCCCCTCTTCCCTACGACAGTCCCTAAAATACTGGAAGACTGCCATCATATCACCACTCTTTGTTAGACTAAACCCGTGATGGCGAACCTATGGCACACGTGCCACAGGTGGCACGAAGAGTCCTCTCTGCGGGCACACGAGCCGTCGCCCCAGCTCAGCTCCACCGCCAGCCAGCTGATTTTCGGGTCTCTGCCATGCATGGGCTGGGGGCGGGGGCGCATGCGGGGGACACACGCACATGCATGGGAGTGGGGGAGCACAGGGGGTCGCGCATGCATGCGCAGGTGGGCGGGGCACATGGGGGGCTCATGCACACATTACATTATGGGTTATAAGTGCAGAGAGGCCTAATAGGCCCAAAATGGGGCACGGGGGGCAGCCCCCCCACGGCCCATTTTTGCTCCCAGGAGGCTGCAGGGAGGCCTACTAGGCCCAAAATGGGGCATTGGGGAGCATGGGAGGGTCACACACGCATGTGCAGGGGAGGGGCATGTGGGGGGATCACACGCCCATTGCATTATGGGTGCGGGCATGCGCTTTTGGCATGCGACAACAAAAAGGTTAGCCATCACTGGACTAGACATACCATATTTCCCTCATACGATTTAGCCTCCAGACTTCTTATTATCTTCGTTGCTCTTCTCTGCACACTTTCTAAACGTCTGTTTTTGTATCGTGGTGACCAGAATTCCTCCTTAAAGTCACGATCCTGCGTCCATTGTGCTGGACGTCATAGCTATATAACTTTGGTTTCGATCACTCCTGTCAACCGTGACCTCAGCGTCTTTATAATATTCTGCGTTTTGTTTCCCCCTTAACAGAGAAAATTTCACAGACCCCAGCTTGTGCCTCCTTCACACAGAATCTCGGAAGTCGGATTTCAAAGGAAGACTCTTGCACTGTTCCAGCTGTCGTACAGAGCAATTGGGGCCAGCTGGATGTCAGGATGCAAGTGGTTACTATTATAATACTACTTTTCTTCAGTCAAGCAGCTGATTTTAGGAAAGCACGAAATGGGAATTCAAGGAAGAAAACAAACCATGGGAGAACAAGCCGCTTAGGAAAAGTATCCGGTCTAGTGAAACGCTTTTCCCCAAACCCTCCGTGCGACATCTACACTTACCTGTTTGAGAAATATTTAGATTGTCAAGAAAGGAAATTGACATTTGTCCTGCCCGAGTGGCCGGAAGATTTAAAGCACATGCTCTTGGCCCAAAACGCATTCCGTAAGCTGAAGAACAACATGTTCTCCAAATTCCAAAAACTGAAAAGTCTCGATTTGCAACAGAACGATATCTCCAAAATCGAGGATCAAGCTTTCTGGGGTTTGAACAAGCTGACTACCTTGTTACTACAACACAATAAGCTCAAGGTTTTGTCGGAGGAGGTGTTCATTTACATGCCTCTCTTAAGTTACTTGCGCCTGTACGGCAACCCCTGGCACTGCAACTGTCAGATGGAATCGCTTATAACGACGCTGCAGCTTCCAAGAAACAGGAACTTGGCAAATTACGCCAAGTGCGACTATCCAGAAGAAGTGAAAGGTCGAAAGCTCAAGGAGATACAAGTCGAAGAGTTCTGCAGTGGCGACAAAGCGGACTTACCCCCAGCACCCAAACCCGAAATCGCTAAACCTGAGTTTGACTTTTCGCGTTGTCACACGTATGTGTTTCCTTTAAAAACCCTGGATTGCAGGAGGAAAGGTTGGTACATGTCAATTGCAGGGTATTTATTTATTTCCTTATAAGGGTCCCAAAAGTATTTTTTTTTTTCCAAGAGGCCACTGGACTTTCTGGTTTTTCTTTGAAGGTGTTTCACTTCTCATCCAACAAGCTTCTTCTTTTTCTTACTTATTAGGGCTTCAACATTACTCTCGTCGTGTAAGAAGACTTTGAACATTGTCCCATCCAGTAAGAAGGCTCCAATGTTTAAATAAATATTTAAACAATAAATACATCAAAGCAGATGATAAGTGTTAGCTGGAAGGTTCCAAAGCTAGTTTTTATTGTCAGGCTCATCTGTTAAGTGTTGTTGTTTTTTACAATAGATACAGTAGTGGCCAAAATTGTGGAAACCTTTTGGGGAAAGTGTATTTTTGAGGTTTGATGGCTAATAACACCACTCTTTTTTTGGAGTTTCAAGATAATCCTATTCCACTGCTGGAATGGCCTGGGAATAGCCTAGACTTTAACCCAATTGAAAATCTAGGGAGCCGACTAAAGAAACTTGTTAGTCAGAAGCGACCCAGCAATAAAACCCAGTTAATAGAAGCCATCATTCAATCTTGGTTTCACATTGTAACAGCTGCAGAACTAAAAGACTTGGTTCACTCCATGGGAAGACGTTGTAAGGCCGTCATTCACGATAAAGGTTACCCAACTAGGTATTAACTGACATAGTGATCATTTTTTCATATCTCATTTTTTTCTACGATGATAATTTTTGTATATCTCATTTTTTCTATGTGTTTCACTTTTCTTCCTTATACTGTAACTGCTATTCTAATAGCAAATCCTTCATAAAAGTTCTTGCATTACATTCCTGATTAAATTATCTTTCCATTAATTTTATGGTACTACTGCAAAAAAAAAAAAAAAAAAGTGATGTTATTAGCTAGTTTTAGAAAATACACTTTTCCCAAAAGGTTTCCACAATTTTGGCCGCTACTGTAGATGGTTGGTCAAATTGCTTCGATAAATAGAATTGTAGAAGGATATACAGGCAGTCCTCAACATACGATGACAATTGAGCCCAAAATTTCTGTTGCTAAGCGAGAGTTAAGTGAGTTTTGCCCCGTTTTATGACCATTCTTGCCACAGTGGTTAAGTGAATCACTGCAGCTGTTAAGTTAATAACACTGTTGTTAAATGAATCCTGCTTCCATGTGACTTCGCTGGTCAGGAGGTCACAAAAAGTGATCACATGACCCTGGGACACTGCAACCGTCATAAATATGAGTCGGTTGCAAAATTCAAATATCTGAATTTGGATTGTGTGGGCATAGGGATGCTGCAACGGTCATAAGTGTGAAAAACAGTTGTAAATTATTTTTTTCCAGGGCCGTTGTAACTTCAAACAGTCACTAAACCAGTGTTTCTCAATCTTGGAAGCTTGAAGATGGGTGGGCTTCAACTCCCAGAATCCCCCAGCCAGCAGCACTGGCTGGGGGATTCTGGGAGTTGAAGTCCACCCATCTTCAAGCTTCCAAGGTTGAGAAACACTGCACTAAACAAACTAGTGTAAATTGAGGACTACCTGAACTGCGATTGGGTATCAATTTTGAAATATAAAAAGACTCAACAGTGCCATGGGAAAATCGATGTGGGTATTCAATATGGAAAACTTTGCTAATAGACTACAGAATGTAAAATATTCTATATTGGCCAAGTGTGATTGGACATACAAGGAATTTGTCTCTGGTGCAGAAGCTGTCAAGTAGATATACAAACAACGAAGCAATATAATCATAAGGTACCAATAGGAGAAGTTAATAGCAAAGATTGGAAGGATAATAGTATTAGAGCCCTACTACATGAGTAAATATCCTTAGGCCTAAGACAGTGCTGTGGGAATTACCATATTTTTCGGAGTATAAGACGCACCAGAGTATAAGACGCAGCTTAGTTTTTGGGGAGGAAAATGGGGGGGGGGGAATCTGCCTACCAGGTATTCATCTGGTTAGGGGTCCTTAGTTTGGTCAGCTTCAGCACATTAGTTTGCTGGTTTTTTATCCCCTGCTTGGGGATAAAAAAACAGCTTCTAAGGCCCAGCTGAGAGGAAGCAGCAATGAGAAAAGCAGGCAAAGCATGGGGAGATCGCTTCACTCGGCTAGCGCCTAGTTAGGACTGAAAACAAGCTTCTAAAGAAAAGCTGAGAGTTGGAGCAAAGCATGGAGATCGCTTCACTCAGTTAATGCCTAGTTAGGGCTGAAAAAAAGCTTCTAAAGAAAAGCTGAGTCAGAGCAAAGCACGGGGAGATCGCTTCACTCGGCTAGCGCCTAGTTAGGACTGAAAACAAGCTTCTAAAGAAAAGCTGAGAGTTGAAGCAAAGCATGGAGATCGCTTCACTCAGCTAGCACCTAGTTAGGGCTGAAAACAAGCTTCTAAAGAAAAGCTGAGAGTTGGAGCAAAGCATGGGATCGTTTCACTCGGATAGCGCCTAGTTAGGGCTGAAAAAAGCTTCTAAAGAAAAGCTGAGAGTTGGGGAGCAAAGCATGGAGATCGTTTCACTCGGCTAGCACCTAGTTAGGGCTGAAAAAAGCTTCTAAAGAAAAGCTGAGAGTTGGAGCAAAGCATGGAGATCACTTCACTCGCTAGCATCTAGTTAGGGCACAGCGGAGAGTCGAGGAAGCAGGCAAAGCTGAGAAGATCGTTTCACTCGTTAGCACCTCGTTAGCGCTGAAAAACAGCTTCGAAAAAGCTACATTCGGAGTATAAAATGCACCCAAACTTTCAGCCTCTTTTAGGGGGGAAAAAGATGCATCTTATACTCTGAAAAATACGGTAGGTGTTCATCAGAGTGATGGCACAAGGGAAAAAAAACCTGGATGCAGGATATGGGCCATTAAGTTTATAACGTAATTATAATCTTTATTATAATCCCTGCAATTGTGATTTTTTTTCCTCTCAAGATTTAAGAAAAGTCCCAAGCAATATATCTCCAGACACAGTTAAACTTGATCTTTCCAGTAACAAAATCAATATATTACGACCCAAGGAGTTTGAAGACATTGATGACCTGAAGATGTTAAATCTCAGTAGCAACGGACTAGTCCACATAGATCCAGGTGAGCAAAATTTATGAAGATAAGAACCATAATATTTAAACCCAGCCTTGTCTTTCATCTTTAATTTAATGATGCAAATTTTCTTCATGAAATGTTTTTTCAAAAAAAAAAATACACAATTGTTTTCTTACTGATCCAAGCAATATGTAAAATATCTTGTTGGAAATAGACAAGGTTTGGAATAAATCTATATTAACTCTTTAGATCAGTGTTTTTTAAACTTGGCTACTAAAACATGTGGACTTCAAATCCCAGAATTCCTTAGGCGGGCTGCCAGTGAGGGAATTCCGAGATGGTCCGTGCATCTTAAAATTGCTTTAGACAGAGATGTAAATATGAACAAGATATATATTTATACTTATAAATATGATTTGAGTCATATTTCCTATCACACTGTTTCCAGGGTTCTTTCCAATTCTGAAAACTTTGTGCTGTGTGGAAGACTTACTGTATTTTTCACACTATAAGACACACTTTTTTCCCCACAAAAAAAGTGGGTGGAAATATCTGTGTCTCTTACAGGGCAAATATTGCGGCGGGGGAGAGGGGAGTTGGTGCAGCGGCAAACAACGCTGCCTGTCATCACTGCCACCATTCGCCGCCACCGAAGAACACTGGAGCCTTTGCTGCCAAGCAGCTGATCAGTGGTAGGATCGTTCTCCCGGAATATCGCTGATCAGCTGTTCTAGGAGGCGGAGATCGCTGCCGCTGTTTGCCACCACTGTTCACCGCCACCGTTCACCACCAACCGCCACCGATTGGCTGCGGAAGCAAGCTGTGGCAAGCAACGGTGGTGATGGGAGGCGGCGGTGAATGGTGAACAGTGGTGATCGGCTGTGATAGCTGGCAGCCGTGATCCCCACCGCCTAGAACAGCTGATCGGCGGTATTCCTGGAGGCAAATCCAATTGCCAATCAGCTGTTCGGCAGCGAAGGCTCCAGTGTTCCCCGGTAGCAGCAGCAGTTCAGGTCAGTTGACCGGTGGTGGGCACAACGGAGCGGAGCCCTGACGAGCCACGTGCTGGGGCTACGATAACATGCTGAAGCTGACCAGGCTGTTTGCTTTTGCTGCAAGGAAGCTAGCCAGATGGATACTGTGAGGCAGAGGCAGATTTTTTTTTCTTGTTTTCCTCCTCTAAAGCTAATGTGTGTCTTATGGTCCGGTGTGTCTTATAGTGCGAAAAATACGGTACTTTTCAAAAGAAGATTAAAAAAATGTTAGATTCATTCCAAAAGATCTCTTTAGAATTCTTCAGGCATTTAGTCACTACAACATGGAGGGAATTAGTGAGAGATATCGCTGTACTATGTTCTCCATCCAATTAGCCTAAAGAACAATTATAATTACATCTAGGTACATAAGTAACCACCAAACCACCAAAATTAGCAAAGTTATGCAAAGCAGAGGAAAGGCATCAGAAAGAATAAAAAAAGAGAGGTGACGGCATGAGAAAAGAAAGAAAAATATATTTGAATATAATCAAGCCCAGGCGCTCTTATTTCCCTTTTCATTCTGGCAAACTACCCTTACATAGATAGTCCTCAATTTATGAGCACAACTGAGTCCAAACTGTTCACCTAAATTTGGTTGTAATCATTCTTCAGACTTTCTTAGACAACATGGAGGTCAATGCGAAACATATAATGCTGTACTATGTTTGAATATCTCATAAAGGGTTTTGTCATAGCTCTTTAACCGAAACCTTATAGTGACTGTATCGGCTGTGGCTTGTAAATCGTGGGTTGTTGACTAACCCACAGATATTTAGGTATATATAGTTTAAAACAAGATTTAGAATTCACAGTGACCGGATGCACACAACCTACTAAGCTAAATTAGAGAAAGTGCAGTACCACCAGTAGTGGATTGCTACCAGTTCGCCCCGGATCGGGCAAACCGGTAGTGGCGGCGGCGGGAGGCTTCGCCCACCCGCTCGGACATCTCTGCGCATGCGCAGAACAGGGGTGGGTTCTACTTATTTTTACTACCGGTTCGCAATGGGGCCGTGCGCGCATGCTTGCTTTGCTCGCGCACGCTCTTTTGCGCAACCACAGAAGTTTTTGTGCATGCGCAGAAGCATTTTGATGACATCGGGGTCGATGGGCAGAGCCTCCCACCAGTTTTACTACCGGTTCTATAGAACCGGTGCAAACCGGGGGCAACCCACCACTAGCGCAGAAGCTTCTGCACATGATCAGAAGCGTCGGCCATGCAAGCGAACTGGTAGCGACAGAATTTGAATCCCACTACCGAGTACAACACAATGCACAATATGAAATAATCTCACAGATTTATACCCACCCACTGTCTGTGTTTCTGTCAATTGCTTCATTTCTGCTTCTTTCACGAAAATCAAAATGTTAACCACAGCGTCTCATTCTAAAGACACAAGACATAAACACTGCCCAGTTTTTAATTTAAGCAAAGGGAGAAATTAAACAGTTATGATTTGTACGTTGGTTTATCGCCGCAAAAATGCCGAATCTCTGAATAGGTTGCCAGGAAATTTCAACCAGTGCGCAAATGCTACAAACGGATACGTCGTTCGTTTGTTATTTCTAATTCTTACTATTTTTTAATTTCTTTTGACTAGCTGCTTTTGCAGGCCTCATCAATCTGGAAGAACTAGATCTATCAAACAACTCCCTACAAAATATTGAATATGGCGTTCTAGAACATTTGTACTTTTTGAAAATACTGCGGCTTAAAGAAAACCCTTGGAGATGCGACTATAATATCCATTATCTTTTCTACTGGCTGAAGCACCACTACAATGTTCATTATAACGGCCTAGAATGCCGAAAACCTGAAGAATATAAAGGATGGTCGGTTAGAAAGTACGTCAGAAGTTATTTTGAGGAATGTCCCAAAGACAGGCTACAGATTTATCCAGACGTATTTGAGGATAACGAAACGGAAGAACCAACTCCAAAACATTCGGTCATTGTCAGAATAATAGATTAATTGGCCCACTAGTATAATCCAAACCTTTGGTATTTTTTATATAAGAGGAAGGATCATTTATATATTTTGATACTGTCACTGTGGTGTTTGTTCATGACGGACTATCTGCTAAACTATTTTTGAGTACTAATCACGAGACGGCATTCATTGCATTGTTCTTTATAAACGTGCTATTTTTAATTGGTTTGGAGTCGTTTTTGCCCTGTTTGGTAATCGTCTGTAGGAGGAAGGAGCTAAATCGCTTCTGGTGAAAACATAAACCTCTTGTTGTGGTCCGCCAGCGACCAGCAGAGCTGGCAGCAGATTCGGACAGTGAGGAGGTTGGGGAGGAACATGGGCCAGTCCTGGAGTCTGGGGAAGGCTCTGATGACGGCTCTGCGTTGGAGGCAGAGATGGGGCCAGGGCCATATGCCAGTTATCAGCTGCCTTAGGAGTCAGATACCAGTGAGGCAGACCAACAGCTGGAGCCTGTTCCCAGTGTGCACAGAGTTGCCAGACGAAGGGAACAGCTAAAGAACAAGGGTCGACTTGGGAGTAAGGCCACAGGTGGACGATGAATGGCCCCTCCCAGAGGGAATAAAAGAGGAGCGAAAGGGGAGGGGAGTTTGCAGGAGACAATTAGTTCGCTTAATTGGTTTGTGACTCTCCGAGACTCCTGGGCAAGTTTTGAAGATATCGGCCTGGAAGCTCTCCAAGCCAGATGAGGTCTGTGACTATAAATTCTCCCTTGAAAGGCTTTGCTGGATGTGAATGAGAAGAATTCACAGTAACTTAATAAAAAGGGTTTTTTGTCGGGACAAGGAGTCTGCTTCATGGTTTGGGGAAGCCTAGTTTAGAACATGTCTGTGGAAAAATGTGCAGCCTTTCCAAATATAATAATGTATGTTTACACAGTACAGGTAGTCCTCGACTTACAACAGTTCGTTTAGTGACCGTTCGAAGTTACAACGTGGTGCTCGGTGGTTAGAATGCAGTATTGCAGGCTAACTCTGCCCACTGCCAGCAGTTCGATTCTCACCAGCTCAAAGTAGACTCAGCCCTCCATCCTTCTGAGGTCGGTAGAATGAGGACCCAAGTTGTTGGCTGACTTATGACCGTTTTTCACACTTATGACCGTTTGCGGCATCCCCATGGTCACATGATTTACATTTAGATACTTGACAACTGGTTCATAGTTATGACGGTTGGAGTGTCCCAGGATCATGTGATCATCTTTTGCGACCTTCTGACCAGCATAGTCAATGGGGAATTCAGATTCATTTAACAACCGTAGTGAGAAAAATCACAAAATGAGGCAAAACTCACTTAACAAATTTTTCACTTGGCAACATCAATTCTGGGCTCAATTGTGGTCATAAGTCGAGGACTATCTGTACTTCGGTGCAGTGGCAGGTTCCTCCCGGTTCGGCCTGGTTCCGCCAAGCCGGTAGCAGTGACGATATGACGTCACCGAACCGGTTCTGCCCCCCTGCGCCCCTCCCCCCCACGTTATTCTTACCTTTTATTTGGCCCCACCCCCAATCTATTGCTGCCTCCTGAGTCCCAGCTGATGGGCTATAAGGAAAAACTGTTTAAACTCTTGCCACGGGGCTTCAAAGGGCCGCCCTTCAGCTAATCAGTAGTAAAAGGCAGTTTGGTGGTAGACCGGTGCCTCAAAAAACAAATGAATAGACCGGTGCCTGCAAAAATAAATGGGTAGACCAGTGTCTGCAAAAATACATGAATAGACTGGTGCCTGCAAAAGTAAATGGGTAGACCAGTGCCTGCAAAAATAAATGGGTAGACCGGTACAGCTCTGCAAGCAGTTAAAACCTGGTAGACCAGTACCTCTGCTAAATCCTAAAGAATTGTCACATGACCATCAAGCCACGCCCACAAAATAAGCCACGCCCACAGAACCGGTAGTAAAAAAATTTAGAACCCATCCCTGCTTCGGTGGTGCTTAGCCACCCAAAGGATACACAATCCTGCCAAAATGCATAAAATCTTATGCAAAAAATGCTAGGAAGGAGATTGTGTTGAATTTCAGCATTTTGTTTAATCCCAAAGGGAGGGAGATTACCGCAGGATCCAGTCACATTTTTCTAGTCAAATTCAACATACACTTTTTCTCTCTTCTGAAGTTCCTCAAATTTTCCGCATTAGGAAATTAGAAATTATTTGAATGTCTTTACTTTTAAGCAGAAGAGTTATCAAAAAGGCCAGAGTTAGCATAGGCAAATATTAATTCACCTGAGAGAAAATAGAAGCCCATTAATTTTTTTTTAAAAAAATGGCTGTGCATTTTACAGTCCTATTCATCATCTTCTTTTAACGACCCCATAATCCCTTGCGGGATGGAGTCTGGGCAACTGAATGTTTAATGGCCAGATGCCTTTCCTGTCACCAATGCGGAGGTTTTGTGCAGTAGATATATTCTCATTGTGCCCAGAGAGAGAAATATCTGCCTCTTCCTAGGATCGAACTCACAGCCTCCTGATTGTGAGGTGAGAGCTCCACCTCTAGGCCACCGCACCACTCCATTTTACAGTCCTACTGAACGTCGATAAATACCTACAGTTGCCAAGCATCCGAGTTTTGATCATGTGACCTCGGGGATGCTGCAACGGTCATAAGTATGAAAAATGGTCATAGGTCACTTTTTCCGGTGCCGTTGTAACTTCAAAGGGTCACTAAATTAATAGTTGGTAAGGGTTATCTGTATCGGTCTTTAGCCGTTCTGTTTATTATAAACAAAACGGAGCAAAACACATAAAGGTACAAATAATTATGAGAACAGCCACAAGACATATGATTTTCCTCCCTGTCAGGGGTGAAATGCTCCTGGTTTGGACCGGATCGCCCGATCCGGTAGTGATGGAAGCGGGTGGTTCGGAGAACTGGTAGCAAAAATCCCTGCGGCCCCCACCCCATGCCCAGCTGAGCCGCACAATCATCAGAGGGTTTTTTTTTTACTTTTAAAAGCATTTTGTCTTTTAAAAAAAAGCTTCTCTGACGATCCCAGCTGAGTTGTCTAATCGGCAGAGAGGCATTTTTTTAAAAAGCCTCTCTGACGATCCCAGCTGAGTTGCCTGATTGGCAGAGGCTTTTCAAAGCATTAGAAAAAATGCTTTGAAAAGTTTTTTTTTAAAAAAAGGTGGCCACGCCCACCCAGTCACATTAAGGCCCCACCGCCAAGCCACGCCCACAGAACCGGCAGTAACAAATTTTACATTTTACCCCGATCCCTGTAGTAAGTGATTTGAAGAATTCTTTTCTACCGTTGACAAACGAAGTCAGACAAATAAAAATAAATTAAAAAAAGAATTATTTCAGTTGCAAATGAAGAACTGGGTTGTTGAAAAGCAAACTGGTCCAAACTCCAGCTAGTTGTCCATAAATGGGGATAGGAGAAATGGGAATATAAATACAGATGCTCTTTAGGAAGGAAGGCCCAAAAAGCAACAGGATACTTGCTTTGTTAGAAACAGATTTCTAAAATGCATAGTCATACTAAATGGAAATGCAAAGTTCATTTAAATTTAAGACAGACTTCGTATAAAAATAAACATAAAACAGAGGAGGGAATTTCAACAGCAAATAGGAAAAAAAGTTACAAAAGGAAGAAGAAAAATATAACAGCAAAAGAGACTATCACAGGGGGAAAGTATTTGGCATTCTGAAATATCAATGGATTCTACAATAGAATAGAATAGAATAGAATAGAATAGAATAGAATAGAATAGAAGAATAGAATAGAATAGAATAGATAGAATAGAATAGAATAGAAAAGAAAATATGGAACGGAACAGAACAGAACAGAACAGAATAGAAAATATGGAATGGAATGGAATAGAATAGAATAGAATAGAAAATGGAATGGAATGGAATGGAATGGAATGGAATAGAATAGAATAGAATAGAATAGAATAGAATAGAATAGAATAGAATAGAATAGAATAGAAAATATGGAATGGAATGGAATGGAATGGAATGGAATGGAATAGAATAGAATAGAATAGAATAGAATAGAATAGAATAGGAATAGAATAGAATAGAATAGAATAGAAAATATGGAATGGAATGGAACGGAATGGAACAGAATAGAATAGAATAGAACCACATATGAAGGCCCAATTAAACTAATGTGCAGATAGTCCTTGACTTAACACCACAATTGAGCTCAACATTTCTGTTGCCGAGGCTTTTGTTAAGTGAGTTTTGCCCCCTTTTATGACCTTCCTTGTCACAAGAAATGCCTAGCTCCACTTCTTAGGACTTCTGAGGAGTCCTTGGTACTCTCTGCCACTTGCTTTCTTGAAGATGTTTCATTACCAAACTACGTAAGTCATCGCTTCTAGAATCTGATGATGTTACCTAGTTTGGTAATGAAACGTCTGCAAGAAAACAACCAAGCTCGGAGAGCAACCAAGGACCTCACTGTTCATCCCTGAGCTACAAATATTCCTCGTCTCTCCCCAGGCACACAGGTGGACCTCCTCTACCAGTGGTGGGATTCAGCCGGTTCGGGAGAAGCGGTTGTTAAATTGCTGGCTGGCCCCTCCCCTCCCCTCCCAGCCCCTTCCAGGTGTCCCCACGTGCCCCATTTTGGCTCCCAGCAGGGAGGCCTACTAGGCCCAAAACAGGGCATGGGGGGTGCGGTGACCCCCCATGGCCCATTTTTGCTCCCAGGTAAGTACAGGGAGGCCTACTAGGCCCAAAACGGGACACGGGGGGGGTGCAGTGCGCCCCCCTCCCAGCGGCCGGTTTTTGCTCCCAAGAGGCTGCAGGGAGGCCTACTAGGCCCAAAATGGGGCGCTGGGGGTGCAGTGCCCCCCACGGCCCGTTTTTGCTCCCAGGGGGGATGCAGGAGGCCGAGTGCTGCCTGTCACACCCCCTGGCCACGCCCGCCATGGCCACGCCCACCCAGCCGGTCATTAGGGCAGAGAACCGGTTGTTAAATTATCTGAATCCCACCACTGTACCTCGGCAAACTCATATCAAGCTTCACTGCTTCGTGCAATGTGAAATCTTTTCACATGAACACCAGATCTATCAGGGGTGTCCATAGACGCAGCAATCCAGATTTTACAAGTTGGCTAGGCTGCATTCTCAAAAACCAGCCAATTTTTTTTTCCCCCTCCGATTCATGCAAAATCTGTGAGTAATGTGAGATTCGTTCCAACACAATCCGATTGACC